TGTCCTTAGCAGGGACCTTCCCCTGACTTTTGAATGCTGGAATCAGGACCCAATACCACAATCATCAAGGTGATACATCCGTCCTTCATTGTCACGTGCTACACAAATGCCACAAAGCAGCATTTGGCCTGAGGCTATGTTAATAAAGTACGGCCTTTAGAATAGGGAGGTGCTCTACAGTGATCATTCATTCAACTGACCTTTGTCATTGGCCATACATGGGACAGAATGGTTCTGCATCTGGGGAACACCATTTAAGTAAAATCAGAAAAATCTCTGGCTTTTTGTAGCGTATGTTCCAGTGGAAAGAGGCAGACGTTAGATACGCTATAACCAGAGTGAGGAAGGAAAGTGTTAGAAGGTGGTAAGTGCTGTGAGGCAGGTAGGTGATCCAGGATGTGGGCAGTGGGGACAGGGAATGTGGCTGTTGTGCTGGGTAGTCAGTGTGTGCCTTGTTGCAAAGGTGACTTTTGAGGAAGGATTTGAGGGACATGAGGATTTCTGGGGAAGTTTTTTCCAGGCAGAGGAACCTCCAGTCCAAATGCACTATGGCAGGAAGGTGTCTGTGTTCCCAGAAGAGCAAGGAGGCCAGGAGGGCTGGACAGAGAGAAACTGAGATGAGGTCGGAGGTGTGGCCAGAGCAGGTGGGCTTGAGGGGAATGGGGTTGGATCTGACCTTTGCTCTGAGTGGGATGAAGAGCCAGAGGACAGTTTTGAGCAGAAGAGGGCCATGATATAACTTCTCTTTTAAAAGGATCTCTGACTGCTGTGCTGAGACAGAGAGGTGAGGGACGAGGGAGGCAGAAGGGAAAACAGTAGGAAGCCAGTGCAGTATTCCAGGCTGGAGATGTCAGTTAGCTTGACTGGGCTGTGAGCAGGGGAAATAGTGGGACATGAGGGGATTCTGGATGCATTTGAAGATGAACTCACAGCATTTGTCAATGGATTGTATCTGTGGTGTGAGAAAGACGAATCAAGGACACCCATAGTTGTAAAATGAGTAGAAGGAAGGGTGGAGCTGCTGTCAGTGGAGATGGGGAGACTCTGGCAGGAGCATACTGAGGGGGAGGCATCATAGGCACTCAGTGGAGATGTCTACTAGGAATGCAGGTTGGGGAGCTGGGGTGGAATTTGGACAGACAACTCCAGACTTTAGAGGAAAGGAGAAATCAACTGGGCAGGAGAAATAGATTTAGGAGCTCATACCATATAAACGATACTTAAAACCTCAAGCATGGATGAGGGCACCAAGGGAGTGATTGACTGTGGAAAAGAATGAGGGCAAGGACTGAACCCTGGACCTGCAGTTGTAAGGGATGTGATCAGACCACACCCAGAGCAGACTGCACAGTTCTGATCCCAAGTCTAGAGGACACTTAGACAAGGAACTTCCATGTGTACAGGGATCACCCAGACGTGGTGCTGAGATCCAGGAAGTCTGGAGTGGAGCAAGAGATTCTGTATTTATGACAAGGCTGGAGCTCATGTTGCTGGTCTCCAGATCACACTTGGAGTAGCAAGAACACCAGGATCCCACATGTCTGAGCATCAGCCTCACCTCTAGGGCTTGTTATATAAATGATTCCTTGCTCTTGTGCATAAAACTCTGAGACAGGGGTTCTGGGGAGTGGCCTGAGTATTTTCTAAGCCCCCGCCAGCAATCCTGTTGCTCAGCCAGATTGGGAACCACTGAGATCAGAGATCAGAGAGTGCCCAGGGTGCGTGGGTGGGGTGGGCTTTCAAACCCTGTTTAAAAGAGGATTTTTCTCACAGAAAGAAAAGGGAGGATGTGTATCATCAGTTATGAGATGTGATATTCCCTGTTGTTCTCTCCACAGTGGGGTAGAGGCCAGGTAGAGAATTCAGGATGTGGCTCTCGCACAAGGAACACCTGTGAATTTCGTTGTTTGGCAAGATTAATTAAATCATCGGCCATTGTGTGACTGAACTCAACTTTGAGCCTCTCTTTCCTTCCCAGACTGTAGGGATGGGGCTAAAAGTTCCAATCCTCTAATCACAGCTTCGTGTTTCTGGCAACCAGCTCCCATTCTGAAGCTACCTAGGAGCCCCTCACCCCATAGTCATCTCGATGCCATATTGAAGTCATGTTTATCACTGAGGAGACTAGAACCCAATGTTCTAGAACCTGGTTGTCAGGAAACAGGGACAAAGACCCAATATTTTCACTGGACATAGGTCACACCCTGGTTTTGACTACATTATCTCTTTTTATAATATTTATTTATTTCAGAGATAATCTCTTGCTCTGTTGCCCAGGGTAGAATGCAGTGGCAGAATCATAGCTCACTGTAACCTCGAATTCCTGGACTCAAGTGATCCTTCTGCCTCGGCCTCCTGAGTAGATAGCATTACAGGTGCACACCACCATGCCCAACTAATTTTTAAATATTTTGTAGGAATGGGTCTCACTAT